ATCTATACAACTAGTAACAAAATTTGTTTTTGGAGAACAGGTCAATCTATTGCTTACCTTCTTAGAAATCAAATTTGGTTCTGGTGATGTTGCAATAAAGAGATCTACTCTTCAGTCCCTCCAACTTGGATGTGAGGTGCAGCCTTTCCAGGAATGTGAATTTGTTGGTGTCTCACAGATTTGTTGCTATTTTCCCTCCCTCCTATCTCTCACACACAGGAAATGAACATCACAGGTTGTTACTCTGAAAGCAAGGCCCCATGTGAGAATTTTGCCTGAGCTCTCGAGCACTGCTCCGGTTCCAGGAATGAGCAGCACGAATCGTTCTCAGCCCCACGCTTTTGAAGAAATCTAGAGGATGTCTGCTTTCCTGAGGCAAATTTCCTTTTTCCGCTCTGCATTTTTGCAACCAGCTTCCCTGCTTTCAGATAACAGAGTGTACTGCCAAAAGAACAGGAGAGAGAGAGAGAGAAAGAAAGAAAGAGGCTGCCCTGGCCAGTTTCACCATTAGGTAGAGTAGGGGTGTCCAAACTTTTTTCAAAGAGGGCCAGATTGGATGAAGTGAACGTGCTGGAAGGCCGAACATTTTTCCGAACATTCTTTGAACCATTACAATTAAATGCAAATGAATTATTTTATGCCTCTTTCCTCTCCCTCTCTTTCCTCTTTCTCTCTCTCTTTCCTTTCCCTTTCCTCTCTCCCCTCTCTCTCTTTCTCTTTCCTCTCCCCCTCTTTCTCTTTCCTCTCTCTCTTTCTCTTTCCTCTTTCTCTTTCCTCTAACTTTCTCTTTCCTCTCTTTCTCCTTTCTTTCCTCTTTTCTTCTCTTTCCTCTTTCCTTCCTTTCTCTTTCCTTTCTCTCTTTCCTCTCTCTTTCCTCTTTCTCTTCTCTTTCCTCTTTCTTTCCTCTCTCTTTTCTCAATCTTTTTTCTTTCCTCTTTTTCTCTCTTTCCTCTCCCCCTCGCTTTCTTTCTCTCTTTCCTTTCTCTTTCCTCTCCTTTCTCTCCCTCTTTCCTCTTTTTCTCTTTCCTCTCTCTTTTCTTTCTTTCCTCTTTCTCTCTCTTTCCT